CTTACTCACCAAGCCTCAGCCACACTGGCTGTCTTTCAGTTCCCATCAAGTGGTTGAAATGTACTTCCCCCTGGTTTTTACATGTCTCCTCCTAAAGACTCACTTTAACTGTTACCTTCTTAGAGAGGACTTCCTTGATTAGTTATGCTGTCCTCCATCACATTGCTGTGTTTTCCCTGCACAACATTTATTTCTAATTGTTTCTTACATGCATATTTTCAATGACTCAATTGTTCAAAATTTTGTTGAGTGAATAAATGGTAAGTTCTACTCCTTTATCTCCTAGACGGAAGATAAGAAATACTGAGTAGGGAACGAGACTCTAAGAACTTTATTTCAGATTATTTTTAACTTCCTCACAATAGCTGCTTTAATCTTTTTTTAATTTCTCTGGCATGATTAGCCATGTAACTCTTTCTATAGAAAGTACTTATGTTCCGAGGCAGCTAGGAACAATGGCCTGAGGACTTGTAACATATATGTGAAGGCTTGAAGAAATAACACCGAAGGATGGGATCGGTGGTGGTGACTTTAAACAGGAAAGGAAGGTAGGCTGAATCCATGTAGCCTCCTACAGAAAAGAAAAAAAGAGTCAAAGTAGGAGCTGATAAGTATCCTGGGACTTCACAATGGAAAGGACCATGGGGCTTCCCTGTGCCCACCCCCAGCCTCTGACTCCATATTCATCTTCTGACTGTTTTCCTAGCACAACATAATCCTGCCTTGGACTCATACTAAAGACACCATCACCACCTCTCTACCAACCAGATCCTTGGGATTCAGACACAGCCCCCCACTCCCTTTTTGAGAAGTTATTCCTTAAAAACCGTAGTCTACTCAGGGCCCTTTCTTCTCTGGCCTCCTTGTCTCAAGAGAAAAAATTGTGTAGGAGCTCATTGTTCTCTATTCATTTTTGTTTGTTTGTCCTTTACTATTACTTGTTTTATTTTTACACTAAAGGCCCGGTGCATGAAATTCATGCGGGGGGGGGGGGGGGTTCTCTCCGCCCGGCCTGTGCCCTCTTGCTGTCCGGGAGCCCTCACTCCTTACCACCCGCCTGCTCGCTGCTCCTTACCACTCGCTTGCTGCTCCTTAGCACTGCCAGAGGCAGGAGAGGCTCCCGCCACCGAAGCTGCACTTGTCAGCCGTGAGCCTGGCCTCTGGCTGAGCAGCACTCCCCCTGTGGGAGAGCACTGACCACCAGGGGGCAGCTCCTGTGTTGAGTGTCTACCTCGTGGTGGTCAGTGCACATCATAGCAACCAGTCCTTCTAGTCATTCCACCATCATGGTTGCTTAGGCTTTTATTTTATAGATTTGGGTTTTTTTTGTTTTGTTTTTTTTACTAAATATTTGGTTTTTATATCAATAAAGGTCATAACCACTCTGCTGACATATAATACTGTTATGATACAACAGTTAAACTTGTGAGTCTACAACAGAAGTTGTTGGTAGTTCAACAGGAAACACAGTTGAAAAGTCCATGTTAAAACAAAACTACTGGGACTAATGGGACTAACAGGTCAGAATTGGAAGTAGCAATAAACATATTCCCTCAGCTCCTGAGTATTTCAAGTTTTACAGTACACATAAAAAATTATTTCTTCCAGCCCTAGCCTGTTTTGCTCAATGTTTGGAGTGTCAGCCCTCGGACTAAAGAGTCTCAGGTTCAATTCCAGTCAAGGGCGTGTACCTCCGTTGCAAGATCGATCTAGGCCCCATTTGGGGTGCGTGGGGGAGGCAACCAATCTATGTGTCTCTCTTACATTGATGTTTCTCTCTCTCTGTCTCTCCCCCTCCCTTCCACTTTATTTAAAAATCAATGGAAAAAATATCCTTGGGTGAGGATTAACAACAAAACGATTTCTTCCATCAACACTAGAAATTCAAATTGTTGGATGTTTATGCATTTTTCAAGTTACTCTGATTCAGATGCTTATATGGGAGTAGGGGTTGGAACGTCTCCCAATTTAAAGTTTACTTTTGCTTTTGTCTTAAGCTAAGAATCCTATATAGTGTTGAACACAAAATAGATATCCATACATTTTTTGATTAATTGAATAGCTTCACACTCTGAGGGAAGAAACAGGAAGTAAAAACTAAAGGAGAGGGGAGAAGATGCAAGAAAAATGGGACCTAGCATGTAGGCAAAGGAAGCAGAGATTGGAAGAGGGGTTGTGGGGGGGACAATAAATCAGCTTTCAGTGTAAAGACTTACAGTTTATGACACGTTGTCAATCAGCTAAAATGAAACTTGACAGGAAATGGGCAGAAACGAAAATGACCACAGGCCAACTTATGCTCGTATGTTAAATCTTTTCACTGCCTTGCCCTATTTGCGGCTACCTCACAGGCTCAAAGTCAGCCAGGTTATGTTTTGTTCCTCATGTGTATGTTGAGTTATCAACAGACTGATTTATACACAGCTGGGGACAGCAAGCCAGATGGGCCTTCCTCTATCACCTCTTTCTTTTTAAATGAATCAAAATTTACTCTGGGGTATAAGTAAGTGGGAAACGATGAAACCTCAGTATCTTTTGTACAGTCCTATCAGAAGCAGCTTCTGCCATTCTTCTCTAGAAACCAACTTATTTTTAAAACACTCACTGGGGGGTCTGCCATTTTATGAGGCAAATAGCTCTGTCTTATTCCCAGCACCTAGCATAACACCTGGTACAGGTCATGTGTTTAATACATTTTTGGATGTTGACTGGTTGAACGAATGAAGGAATCATGGTTCCAACCTTGGATCTACCCTCAGTTGACCTTAAGTCAAAGCACAGACATATGGGAAATATAGGACAGATGAAAAGAGAACATTGTTAAGGGAGTAGAGTACCAGAAGTTTTCTGTTCTGTTTATCTTCATCCAAATTTATAGAAAATTATTTCAATCTGATGGGAAGTGTAGACCCTCGGATACAAACATGAAGACCCAGGTCCTGGCTCCAATGTGTGTGCTTTTCCATGATCACATCTTTGGACTGTAAGTATCTGTCTTGCCATTAGACAGTGAGCTCTGTGAGGACATTTTCCACCACATAGTAAGCACTCGATAATAGTAAATCACCTAATGGAGATTGTAGCCTCCTGGAGGGGAAGACACAGTCAGCTGTATAAAGTCAGGATCCTTAGTTGTGGGAAAGAAAAGCTGACTCCTGCTGATGTAGTAGAAAGGAGTGTGTTGAAGATACTGGGTAGCTCTTAGAATTGTCGGAGGGTGTAGAGAATCATGACTAAAGCTAAGCCTCCAAGAACAGTGCAAACAAACATACCACTGCGGAATGAGTCCAGTGGGGAAACGGTATCCATTGCAGCTCCCTACCAATGCTGCTTCGGCATTGGCAACCCGGTCTTGCAACCACAGAGAAACTGCCGGTGCTGCTGCCAACACCGGCCAACTCTGCCATTACCCATTTTAGGAAACTGGAAGTGCCACACAGAGCCTGTTCCCTCTGGCTGCTCACACCTGCGTTTATGTTTCACATGAGGGAACCGGACTGGCAGAGCCTCAGTCACATTGTTTAGCCCAATTGCTGGGGGTCTGAGTTCTAAATAAAGGAAAGCTATTCAAACGATGATGGGGATCCATAGATAAGACAGATGTCCACTGTCCCATAGCAATATGTGATAGGAGCTCAACACGAGTTATGCATTCAGGCATAGGTTTTTGTGCTCGTGGAGCTTATATCCTTGCAGGAGAGACAAACAATAAATATAAATGAGCATAATGATGGACAGCACTAGTTGCTACAAAGACAAATAAAACTCTTCGGGTATTCAAGGAAAGCTTTTCTGAGATGAGCAGAGGCCTGAATGATGCAAGGGAGCAGCAAGCACAAAGGCTCTGGGATGGAAACTGATCCGCAGCCAAGGACCATGTCATGTGGGCCCGTGCAGGCCATGAAGACCCAGACCCTGGCTTTGGACTTGGAAAGGTGGCAGGGGAATGGCCTGATCTGACATTTGTGGAAGGATCACACTGGCTGCCGTGTGAAGAACAGATTAGAAGGGAAGCAGGTGGAAGCAGGGAGACCAAACTGACCAAAGTATGAGCAGAGATTAGAGCACAAAAATCTGCCCAGGTACCCCGGCTGGTGTGGCTCCGTGATTGAGCATCGACCTATGAATCAGGAGGTCACAGTTGGATTCTCAGTCAGAGCACGTGCCCAGGTTGCAGGCTCGATCAGTGGGGGGCATGCAGGAGGCAGCCAATTAGTGATTCTCTCTCATCATTGATGTATCTGTCTCTCTCTCCCTCTCCCTTCTTCTCTGAAATCAATTGTATACATATATATATATTTTCTTTTTTAATCTGCCCAGGTGGTTGGGGAGAAGATAATATAAGAAAGGAGTCTTGGGAGATGAGTGAAAATTGCCCAGGAGAAGAGGTCAGAAGGCCTCTGGGACAAAGGGAAGAACAGGAGCAAAGACACAGGAGCATGGAAAGCCCTGGCATATTTGCAGAACTTTCAGTAGCCTGGTGAGGTTACAGAGAAGGATCCAGACATGAGGCTGGGAAAGTTAGGGACAGCTAGACCGCCGAGGGCTTCCATGCTGCTTTTTTAACCTTTCTTGACACCAAAGCGAAGTGTTGATGCAGTGATGGGGGCAGAGCCTGAGACAAAACTCCAGCTAGATTTTCCCCCGGGAGCCCAGACCTCTCACGGGAGTTCCTAAGAGGGCAGAAAGGACACAGTGCCTTGCCCTTTTCACCTCTCCTCAGACTAGAGAAAACACGGCCAACCCACAGGTCTATGCGATTATCAAAGTGAAGCTGAGGCTTCACTCCTCTCTGAGGCACAGAAATCAGACAGCAGAGAAGGTCTGAGAGCTTCTCCATCGCGGTCAGTCCCAGGAGAAATTGTCAAGCAGACATCTCGTCCTCCATACTTTCTCATTTTCACTTCTGCGGGCGGGCATCTCATATTCCACTCCAGATCCCAGAGAGATGTACACTGGGTCTTACAGGATGTGTTAGATGTGGGTTGGTGAAGAGAATGGAAGAGGAGGAGGGCTTTTCAGAAAGAGAAAACAACGCGTGCCAATGCCAAGAAGCATCGTTGTCCATGGGCAGTCAAACCAAGGCTGGAAGGTCGTTAGAGCCTGGGTTGGGAAATGCTTGGACAACGTGGTAAGCAGTCACCAGGACAATTTATTCATAAACCAGATCCCCCAATTAAATGGGTGACCGAAAGTTAAATGTGCAGTACTTGCTTTTTGCCCAGGGTGGAAGCCAGGGAGTATTTATGGGTTTGGTTGAATCAACAGGTGGAAGTTTATAACTTTAGGATAAATTGCCCAAGTTAATCTCCATGCCAGGTGATCTCCACATTGATAGACTTACCTCAGAACAGAAAGTACTATCTTTCTTAACACATTTTTGGGAATTGCAATGCATTGTGCCTTTATTTCATAAACTCTGGGTCAGATACCAAAGATCAGCAACATTTAGAGCTTTGCAAATGAGGGGTTCTCCTTGATTTTAAGTTCCCTGGGTCCTTCTGTCTTCCATCTCAGCTGAGTCCCAAACCAGAACTCAATCTTTGTCTTGCTCCTGTATCAGCCACGGTTGCTACAGGTCCAGTCACAATTCTGAGCGGAAACAAGATGCAGATTTTAGAAGCATTGCAAGTCAAAACAGGTGAGTAGAAATGGCACCAAGGGCTTAACCAAAAACTATTCAAAGCAGGTTATTCCATTTGAACTGGGACAGCTGACACCAAGGCGAGAAGACCAGGTTAGATTTGTGCAACCTCAGCCTTGGTGGCATACTGGCCTGCGAAACGCTACCAACTCTTCTGTACCCCTCATCCCTGCCCACTCCACTGATCTCTTTTTGCACAAAATGTATCTTTATTGCACCAATACAGCAAATGCAGGGAACCTGTGGAAGAGAATGGGGTACAATTTGGGGTATCGAGATCATGTGTTTTACATATGAACGTAAGCAATGAATTTGTCCATCACCATCCCCCCCTTCCCCGCCCAACTTAGGCTGGGTCAAGAAAGAAAAACGCTGATGGCCAGGACCTCGCAGAGGGCATCCCATCCACTCTGAGCCTCTCCCTTCACCTCCCTGCTTTGCTGCCCTCGCCTGCAACTCCCCACCCCCCACCCCCCGCCCACTTCCCCGTGCTTCACGAGAAAGCTGCTCTTCAAAGACATCCTTCCGGGCTCAGCGAAGCCCGGCGGGCTCTGCATCCGGAGGGGCCGCGGCGCTCGCTTTTATCGGGGAGAACAAAACTGCCATTTCCGAAAACAAAGGAAACTGCTCGAGCGTTACGGGCTCACGGGTGCACATCAGAGGGGGCGGTCGGATGGAGTCCGGGCGCCGAGCACCGCAAACCCCGCCCCCTGCCGGCCCCGCCCCCGCCCCCGCCCCCGCGGCCCCGCCCCGCCCCGTCCCACCGCCCGGGCTCCCTACGCAGCGCGCGCTCCAGCCGGACTCCCGCGCCCTCTTTGGTCTTGGGGGGCAGGTGGCGGGAGGGGGGCGTGCGCGGCGGAAGAGGACGCGGGCGGGCTCGCGTGCAGAGGGCCGTTCTCGCTAGCGCCGCCGCCGCCTCCGCTGGGGACCCTCGAGGCCGTCGCGTCCCGCCCGGAGAACAATGGGGCTCGGCGCGCGCGGTAGCTGGGCCGTGTTCATCGTGGGGACGCTGCTGGTGCTCGCGCTGCTCAAGGTGGTCGTGGACAGCGAAGACCCGGCGGGTGAGAAGTGGCGGGGGCGCCGGCCGCGTCTCGGGGGCGGGGAGGGAGAGGGCGGGAGGGGGAAAGGCGCGCTTGCCTGCGGGAGTTTCCAAGTTGGGATCAGCTTGTAAGGAAAGTTCTGCGCGTCTGATGCCGAGCGCACGGGGCCAGCCTGGAGGTGTCTGGCGAGGTCTCGGGGAAACTGAGGCTCCGGCCGGCTCCCACGTGCCCCGGGGCCGCCTGCTGGAGAAACTGCCCGGTCCTTCCCCCCAGGCTGTTCTGCAGGCGGCGGTGGCGCACCTGGGGGAGTGCGGGTAACCTGTGGAGCTACCCAAGGACGGGCCTTCAGCGGGGGGCTCGAGTTAGTTGTACCAGCCTCTCCCTGGAGCTGAGCTCCAGCCTTTCCCTTGATCTGAGGCTCCCTTTTGGAGGGGGAAGGCGGGGCTGAAAATATGTCCACCGGTTCCTGCGGAAGCAGGTCTACGAGTTCGTTGGGGAACCTTTCAGGAGTCTCCCCGGCGTTTGACCGTCTAACGTAGTAGCAAACAGACGATGTATATTCCCAAGGTCTCACCTTTCAAGTTAAGACTTTGGGGCTCATTGGCTGGTGGGAGCTTTTGGGAAGCGCACCCGGCCCTCGCGGAGCAGGTGAGGCTTATGCCACCCTGGGAAGGGCGCCCCCTGCGCCTTGTGCGGCATTAACCGCCGGGGCGCGCATCAGCTGTGCGGCCGGAAGATCACGGCTGACGATCGCCTGGAGCCCGCGACGCGGTCAGTAGGTCAGAACAAAATAAGTTTTACTTCTCTCTCTTTGAGAAAAGGGGGTTTCCCTTCAGGACCTTAGCCCTTTGGGGCCTTGAAAACGTCCTATTTGGATAAGGCCAGGAAACTGGGATTTGCTATGTGTATTACATTTTATTTGTAAACTATTCTAGAAGTAGGGTAATGGTCAGTAAAGTAGAATAAGTTGCTTTAAGGGACTAAAGTGTTTCATGGATTTAAATTATATCCACCTGTTGTATATTTAGCCTGAGATTTGCTTTATCCAGATGAAGAGGCACAGCACCTGCTTTTACTAGAATAATCTGAGGAGACAATAACTTTTGTTTGTTTTTGCTGAATTTTTTGTTTGTTTTGTTGAATTGTGCATGTGACAATCTGGCTTTGCAGATCATATTTTGAGATCATTTAACAAAAGGATCATGTTCATCCTGATACTAGACATTTTTTCTATTTACCTATGCTAATTGAGGTCCATACCACATCCCATCAAATCTTCATGGTATTATCCCCATTATATAAATGAACAGAGGCTTAGAAAATTGTCAAACTTATTCTGAGTAAAACAGCTGATACATGTTTGATTTCAGAGGCCACAATCCAAACTCTCAACCATTTTGCCTCATTGGGTGATGTTGGCTTTTCAAGTAGAGAATGCTTAAATCCACAATATGGCCATTGCCCAAAATATTGTGGGAGAAGATAAAAACATTATTGAAATTCCTCTTTTAAAATATCCTTCACAGTCTGTTGCATAGTTTCATAAATATCCTCAGTTGGAGGATGTGGGGAGACCGTGAACAAGTAAGCCAGCAGGATAGAATGTGGGAGTGCAATGAGAGACATAAGGGAGGGAGGGCAGGGGAGAGGGGCTGTTACTTAGGGCTCTTGGTGGCAAGTGACAGAAACCCACCTTGAACAGCCTTAGGGCCAAGAAGGGGCTTTATGAACTCTTTAACAAAAAAGTCCAAGGATTAAGGTGACTTCAGAAATGCTGTATTCAAGAGTTCAAATACGTTGCCAGGAGATGGCTCTTTCCAGTTCTTGATTGCATCTATCAAATCTCAGGCAAACCATAGTCAAACTGTCTTCAGACTGCTAGGGAGTGGGGCATCGGGGAGAACATGACACTTCAAATAACGGGGACTTTCTAAAGCGAGTCACAGGTTTCAAAGGCCACCATAATGGGTACCCAGTTAGGAAATGAAGAAATCCATACTGAGTCCATACCACATAATGAACTTAACTGCCCGCCCCCCCCCCCCCCACACACACACCCCTCCAATTTGGTGTATTATAACTCAGTTGAATACCTGTTCTTTCTGTCAAGTCTTCATCCTTCTTGTACTTATGGTTATCCATGAAACTCTCAGGATATAAAAACAGTGCCTGCCCACGTAGATACTTCAGACATGTTTATTGAAAAAATGAGAAAAGTTAGTAAAGCTAGGAAGAGTCTGTCTTCTTTCTCAAGCAAAAAATTAAAAATGGGTTACCAGGAACTCATCCTTCGGAAGAGTGACAATAGCTGGGAGACAGAAACAGGAGATTCCTGCCGTGGTCCAGACGAAAGATGATGGCACCTGATAGTGGAGACGAGTGGGTGGGTTCTAGGTCTGTCTTCTCAGGGGGTGCAACTGAAGTCACTTGCTATTGGATTGGATGGAGGTGGATGGTGGAATGAAGAAGAGGCAGGAATCAAGCCGTGACCTCTTGGTTTGGGGTGGAACAACTGGGAAGACAGGGAGAGCGGGTTTATAGTAGAAAAGCAACAGTTCCATTTTGGCACTCACATGCACAGGCTTTGGAATTAAACAGCCTGGTCCGAATCCAGACTCTGCCACTTACTAAGCTGAGTGGCCCTTTCTGGGCCTCAGTTCCTGTCACTGCAAAACAATATTCCTACCTCAGAACTGTTGGGAGGCTTGGATAAGCTAATGCAAGTCACATGCTCCCCAGGAGGCCTGGCATGTCCTAAGCTCTTCATAACATGGACATTTGTTTGATACCTACTGCTGAATACATCTGTATGGTCTACTGACCTTGATCTTTTTCAAGTTTAATCTTTTGTGTGTGTGGATTATAGTTTATCAAGAGGAAGAAATTTGCACGTGCAATTAAGATAGATCCTTCAAACTTGTTATTGCCTACCTCCCGTTGTACTCTGAGGGTTTGTTTGTTTTGTTGGGGGAAGGCTACCTTTGTGAAAAGTATACAATAGCACACTTATTCTCTTTCCAGGTGGTGTGTGTGTGTGTGTGTGTGTGTGTGTGTGTGTGTGTGTGTGTAGTCTATACAAAGACTCAAGATGAATAAACCAACTGAAAAAAATGCTTAACTGGGGCATAGAGTTCTTCTAAACCTTTTCGAAATCTTTTAGGTGCCAGTTAAAAATTAAGAGTCATAACCCCCTGGCAGTGGACAAGGAGACACCTGGTTGGTGGTGTTGCTCTTATATTTGGTCAGGGGCAAAGCAGACACGCAGTCCTTAGTGCATCCCAGCTTGATGCCTGTGTGTGTTGGTGGGCAGAGCTGTTTCATGCCTGGGGCACCTAAAAAAATTAAGAATCATACTGAGAAGGCTTTCCATTAAATGTGAAGTTATCTTTTCTAAATTGTATGAAGTTAGGGGTGTTGGTGGTACAAACCCTTGAAGCACCCATGAATACAAAGGGACCTGATCGTCCACGCCACTCAGAAGAGCAGGGTTGTAGTGGCAGAAATCAGTTTCTCTCTCACCCGTCACTGTGTCCTCATGGGGGTGAATGAATTTTGGAAAAGCTATTATGTAATTATCCAGTGGCAGGCACCTACTGTAGTAAGTACTATGTAAGTGTTTGTTCCATAAACTGTATGTTTTCTTCTTGAAAAACCAATAATGCAGTTACAGATTTACTGACAGTGTGTTTCATAGCAACAGTGGCAAAAGTAGGCCTTAGAACTTCTTGTGGAATGATCTACCCTCCCCACACCTCCACCACAATATATTGCCAGTGTTCTTAGTTAAATATTATATGTCCATTAATCACAAGCTTTTTATTTTTATAGGCTCTTCAAGCGGACAACCTTCCACATTTTCCCATACCTCTACTACTCAGCCAACAGGTATGTTAAAAAGGGATTTTTATCTGTCTGGAATACATAAAGTAATATCAGCAGGAAAGTCCGTGAAAGCGGGTATACTGACCTGTTTTAACCATCATTTATTCATGAATCCCTAAAGCCTATCTCAAGGGCTGCCCTTAGTAGGCATCAATAAATGATAGAGTCCACTGGATGAATAATCTTTCTCAGTCTAGCGAAGATGCGAATATATTCTCAAACATGTTAGGATTTCATACTGTTTTAAAGCACATTTTTAGGTGTGAAGGTTTTACACTCTGCCTATGCATATGAAATATGAATATATAAGTCTGCTCGTCTTGCTGGGGAAACAAGTCTCTTTAAGCTGGTCAGCCAGGACAGCCTTAAGTTGCCGTGGCAGACTCTAAGGCAGGGGTCCTCAAACTACGGCCCGCGGGCCACATGCAAATACAAATATTGTATTTGTTCCCGTTTTGTTTTTTTACTTCAAAATAAGATATGTGCAGTGTGCATAGGAATTTGTTCATAGTTTTTTTTTAAACTATAGTCCGGCCTCCAGCGGTCTGAGGGACAGTGAACTGGCCCCCTGTTATAAAGTTTGAGGACCCCTGCTCTAAGGAGACCGTCCGACTTCAGTCCTCCCAACCCCCATCTTGCTTCCCTGTTGAAACACTTGTTGAGACATTTTCCCTGTGCTTTTAGTTTGGGACAAGTGGATTTCTCCTTGGAATTCTGAGTTCACTAGCTGGGAAGATACAGGAACCAGGTTGATGTCTTAAATATCAGTAGTAAACCATCGGTTTCTTGTAAGCAATATTTAGGTTATCTTTTTATTATCCTTATTCTTCAGAGTTGACTGAGGTAGAAATAGGGGAAAGGTACACAGATCCTATCGCTAGACCCTAGTTTTAGTCACCAAATATTTATTGAGTGTCTCTAATGTGCTGACATGTTCTACTAGAAGATGCTAAGGATGCAAAATGGACCAAGCCCTGGCTAGTTGGATTCTTTTTTTTTGGGGGGGGGGGGGGGCGCGGGTGGAGGGGGGGTGAGGCTTGTTTTCACTGTGGAAAAATAACATAATATTTATGATGTGAGCCATTTTAAAGTATAGAATTCAGTGGCAATAGGTACATTCACATTGTTGTTCAACTTTGTAGAGTTTCATTCTCGGGGGTGTACCAGTGCTCCAGGGAGTGCACATTGTTGGTTTACCTCTGTGTTTTTTCGTTATCTGTGCCTTTTTCCTACTGGTTGCTGGCTGAACATAGTCAGGATATACTTTTATTTCAGTTTCAGTAATTCTACGGACTCATTTTAATTGGAGGGGAAGACTAGATAGATTTCCCCAAAATGTAATAATGGTTATTGTTGGGCAGCTGTGGGAGGGTTTTCTTAAAATAGTTTATTAAATTCATAGGTGTCTTTTCCTGTTGACCTTATTAACTCTAATTCTGCACTGCTGAATATCCTGAAAGCTGTGGTGTGGCCTTAACTTTAAAAAACACTTTTCAGCCAAGATATACCACTGCTGACATCAGCTGTGAATTTGTTAAAGATCAGCACAGTGCTTTGAGGACAGCTGCAGAGTTGGTGGGAGGATTTTGAATGCTCCTCTAGCTCAGGGAGATTTATTGAGAGGGGAAAAAAAGAGATAGCATGGCCTCAAATTTTTTTTCTAACAAGAGCAGATAATAAGGTTTTATAAACAATTTTTGTTGTTCAGTGTGTAACACTTCCCATAACTGTGATACTATAACAGTTACGGGAAGTGTTTGAATCTTCTTTGAATCTTGAAAACCCTTATGTAACATGTTGAATTTGTCTAGGACGTGATGCTTAATATTCTCTATTAGAGTAGCACGGATGTTTCTAATTGTTGAAACACGTGTTTTTTGAACATACTGTTTACCAGTTTGTTTGGTGCTATTTCGCCCAGTTTAATTGGCACCAATCCCAAAAGGAAAATAACATCCTCCTTCGGCGAACTCCTGTATGATGTGTATTTCAGGAAAAAGTGGAGGCTGCCAGCAGTATTACTTAGCACATGAAGTGCCTGTCACTTCTGTAGGACTTACCACATTGGATTCAGTATATCTTTCTTCTCTACTTTTTTTAGCCTCCATCTGAGTTCCTTGGAAGTGGTATAATGATTTATTCATCCTAGCTCCTAACACGATGCCCGATACATAGCAGATATGCACACATGTTGGTTGAACTGAATTATGGAACCAGAAACATATTTTACTGGTATAATTGCTGGCTTAACTTTATTAAAGAACCACTGCATACATTTTTGCAGACATGACTGGTCCATGCTCTCATCTTATCCATTATTATCGCGTGGTGCGGGGAGAGGAGGTTTCTTCTTGTTTATAGAGTAAGATAGATACCTGCGGTCAAAGAAGCAGGAATTAAGGTTACTCTCCAATGATACCACTGAATTGCACGTAACGGTTCTTTTATTTTTTGAATGCCCTCATCGTTATTCGAGAACAGCCCTACTTTTGACATTCTTTTCTGCAGGGACTTGTTCGTGTTTTCACATTATGGAGAAAATGGTTTCCCCTGTTTCATGTAAAGTTAGGCGGTTTATATTTCAGGTCTGTGGGTGGATGAATGTATGCTGTATGGTGCAAGGAAGGCACATACCCAGGTGATGTTTAGTAACGGGAGTCTGGGCAAGGATGCAAGAGAACGTGGCATGGTTCAGGAAAACAAGCCTCATCTGTAGCCAGGACAACGGCTCACTGCCATTTGGAATACAGCCTGCTCTGACTGCTTAGCACTGATGCTTCCCCAAAAAGAGGAATCTGAGGGGCTCAGGGTGCTTACATCCAGTTTGAAGCTCCTTTCTTGGGCATAGTTTGTACCAAAGCAGTTTCTCCCTTAATGTTCCATGTGTACATGATTGCCTTTGGCTTGGTAACCCAGCCTTGGTTCAGTCACGTGGGCTGTTCTAATAGGGTGGGCTTTCTCCATAGACCTGGCAGGGCCGTACAAATCTGAGCAGATAAACATGGCTTGGGCTTAGAGTTCTGCGGAAGAGGGCATTGGAAATTTGGGAACAACTTACTCCGATAATTTTGTAGTCCAATTTTTACCCCCAATAGAAACACTAAAAGTCTTATTACTAAAGTGGGAAGAATCCATCATGTACATAACTCCATGTTTCATACCACCTTTTTCTACTTATTTTA